GCCGATGAGCGAGTTTGTTTCTGAGGGTGCACAGGCCATCGCGCGTTACTGGCAACGATCATTGGCAACGTACCATCGCGCGACCACTGGCAACGTACCATCGCGCGACCCTCGATGCATCATTGGCAACGTACCATCGCGCGTACCATGGCAACTGGTAACGTTTGCCATGCCACTACACCCTCTGACAACGTTTCCTAATTCTGATGGCAAGCGTTGTTTAGCCATCGCGCGTCACCAAAGAAGGGAGCCACGACATGTCAGTGCCGTCAACGCAGCACACCAAGCAAAGTATTCTTGTGGTTTCATCAATCGGTGTGGTCGCCCATCTGGCGGGAAGCCCCCTGGAGATCGACCGATCCCAACGCAGGGGGGGAATCGGTCGCCAGGGCGGTGAGAGACTCGGCCAGTCAGTTGGCTGCCCAAATCGATGTAGCATCCCCAGGAGATGCCAAAGCGGACAATCACAAAACGTATATGTCCCCCCCCCGTCAGAGAATCAGAAGGATGTGTTGGCAACTCTTCGGACGGACATCAGGGACGATATTTGGAAGGTATCGTTTCTTCATCAAGCAGTGCAGGTGGCCAACAGAGAGCCGTGCGATGAAGCATGTTGAACGACATGCAAGCAGAGACGTCGGCCACGGAAACGTAGTTGCCAGACGCCATGAACCAGTTGGAGCCAGAACGTGCCAGTCTTGGAGAAATTGTCACGAGGGGAAACGAGCTGAAGGAGAAAATCACGAAGACAGGGCGTACGAACAAGAATATAGGGCAGCGTAGAGGACCCTGATGTGGACATAGCCAGGGCGGAGGATGGTGGAGTCAGCAGAGCGCCTATGTTACCTTCGCCCGAGCCAGATGGACGGGCTCAATCAGCATCTCGGGGTCCGCAGCCTGCTAAGGCGACCGCACCCACAGGAACACGTCCAGATCATAGTCGTGTGCTGTAAACCGACTGCAGTCAGCAGCAGCAGCACAGACGCAGCAGCATCACGCTTCTGTCGCGCAGATGTCGCAGATGAGGAACAGCATGCTGAAGGAGATCAACACACTGCAGCCAGCCCCGACGAGTCTGATCCCAGGCGCGCCCCCGTTCCCAGGTACGACACCGCCAATCAGCCAATGGGCGAGTGGATCAGAAGGTTTTCGATGGCATCACCTGGGGTTTCGTCCACCATTGGCGGCGAGTATGGGAGGCATGTTTACGGATATGACGCCAGCGGAACCGGATGCAGCATAATATTATTGACAGATAAGCATGGCGATGTATGTACCAGACGGGGGATTCTTCTGTCAGAGCGACATATATCCTACGCCTCCACCGTCGACCCCAGGTTCATTGCCGCCTCCGCCGACGCCATATTTGTTGATCCGTTCTTTTGCCCGACACCAGCGTTCTATCGGTTGCATGGAGAGCCGCGGGTATCACCGGCGGTGAAGGCAGCAGCAGAGCCTGCGTCGGCAATAGGGGAGCCAGTGGGTCAGCATGGCAGTGGAGTGCCGGCGGTGGTGGAGCAGGCATCGGCAGATGCGCGGGCCCCAGTCCCAGAAGCACCACGGTCGACGAGGCTTCGGCTGACTCCGGCATCCGTGCCGCCTGGACAGCCATCACCGCCTGCGCCGATGCCGCAGCCAGCGCAGAAGACAGCGCTGGCGGATGTCGGAGGAAGAACTTGCGGTTCCCAGCGGTCACCGAATCTTTTCCCAATCGTTTCAACAAGAAGGCGCCAGATCCGAGAGAGTCTGCCAAGCCCAGCTGCGGAATGGAGAAAGGAGGAAGGAACCAAGCCGCACAAAGGCAAGGGTGGAAGGTTTGCGACTTCGAAAGCCAAACGAACACAGAAATTGGAGGTGCGGGAGACGATCGCAGAGGACATCGGGTTGATCCCAGTGGCCAAGGCCGAGCCCGAGACCCACGCGGAGCCCACGACGACGGATGCGAAGGAGGCTCTCGTGGGGTCAGAAGTATTCATCACCGGTGATGGGGCGATGACTCCACTGCCGTGGAACAGGCCGCCATCCGCTATCGAGGTGCAGTCTTCGCCAGAGCAGCTGGCGAAGGAAGCGATCGACAAGCAAGTGCAGGCGATCCATGCAGCAGTAGCAGCGGCAACAGCGGCCTCCAGCGGGTTGGCGATCTCCAGCATGCCGGCGCCAGTGGACACGTCGATCGCCAACGCCAAGGATGACGCGACGAAGCGCTGCGCGAAAGAACAGCCACCGCCCCTTCAAAAGCACTGGCGCCAGAAAGATGTGGACATCCAGTAGTTAACCATCGCAAGTCACACAGCGAGTTTGTGGCTGGGCCACTTTGCCGCGGCGCGTTTCAGGCGCATTTTCAATTTGCTGGTGGATGGGTATTCCAGTCTGGCAAGGCATGTATTGCAGTGAATGCGTGGTCGGGTCAGTTTACCGCAATGAGCTGCAAGTATTGTGTCAACCAATTGGTGGGTCGGTATTACCATAGGCAGGTCGTAGTTGTGTGAGTAGTGGGTGCCACGCATTTCCAAGGCTTGGGTGGAATGCGTCTTACTTCTAGCCTGCAGTGGATCATGCTTGGGTAGGTAGTGAATGCGAAGTATTTCCGAGGCCACGGTGGGATGGGTCCTGTTTCAGTGCATCGGCCGTCGAGGATGGCGCACCTTGATACTGGAGAAATGACAAAACACCGTGCCTTGGACGTGGGCAAGTGTCTCTTACAGATTTTGGGGAATCAGTTTTCCGAGTTTTGGACGCATGTTTGAAACCTCTTGGAGGCGCCGGAAGGATTTTAGCAGGCCTCTCAGGGACTTCTTGGGAGGCCTGCGTGTGGCACCGTGGCCACTTGGAATTGTCTTTGGGCCTTCGTGAGACTTCTTGATCGCATGCTGAAGGTTACCTCGAGTCGACTTGGGCCACCTGGCGCCATCTTGGAGGCCAAAGAGCCCCAATATCGTTGAACTCGACCGGAAAAAAGGGAGGGCTCCTCCCTTCTCGGCGGGGATGGTTTCCAGGGGAAGAGGCTTGCATTCGATTCGATCGCGACCTTGCTCGATGTCCATCTGGCTGCCACTGGGGCAACGGGGTGATCTCAAATCCGCACTGGAGCTGCGAGAGTCCTGTTCTGAGAATCGTCGAAAACCACAGCGGCATACACGTACACTGTTGTCACGGCGGCGCCTCCGGCGCCGCCCATCGGCGCTCTGCGCGCCAGGGAGGGAGCGCGGATCCAGGCCTGGAGCGCCACACGTTTATCACCACCCACCAAACCACCCCAACCCAACCCGAAGGTCCAAATTTATCCTCGATTTCTAGTTGGGGGGGGTCGGGAAACGTCGAAAAAACACGTGTGGAACCCTTACCCCCCCCAACCCGAAATTCGGGTCTTCGGGTTGGGTTGGGGTGGTCTGGTAGGTAGTCAGTTTATTTTGATGAAGTGTATTCTTCTTCTTCTTCTTCTTTCAGAATAGGGCCCGCCCTCTACCTGTATAACCCGTTGCAGGCTTCGAGCGTCGGGAAGACGGGGTGATCTCAAAGCCGCACTGCTGCTGCGAGAATCCTTCTTTTGGGAAGGGCCCGCCCTCTATCCGTGTAGCTGTAGGCCTCGGAATAGACTAGCGAACGCATGCCACGTTCATCCGTCAACGCCCCCCCCCCCCCCCCCCCCTGTTCAAAGTTGGCGGTGGGTCTGCTGAGATGCACTTCGATCGCAGTCTCCCCCGCGCGTGCCAGAGTTTTGGGGGGCAGGGGGGGTGTTCAGTAATTTCGCAGGCCTAGAGATTGACACCAACACCAATATCGGCGGTGTGCATCCACCGAGGGAGGAAGATCCCGACCTCGGTGATGGTGGTAATATTCTGGCTTCCAAGGTGGCCGAAATATTGCCACCAACACCGAAATCGAGGATCGTCTTCCCCCTGTGGAGGCAACCCCCTGTGTTGGTGTTGGTGCCCATTTCTAGGCCTCCAATAATTGTTTCCTTCTACCGCATTGCACGTTTTACTCGTCGGGTTGAAAAAGGGTGAGCAAGTCTCAGGCGAACAGCCCAGGCCGCCCTGTGCGGACACGCCGGAGGTGCGCAGGAGGGGAGGAGGAGGAGGAGGAGGAGGAGGGGAGAGGAGGAGGAGGAGGAGGAGGAGGAGGAGGAGGAGGAGGAGGAGGAGGGACAGTTGTTGCTCCTGCTTGCTCTTTTCGGGAGGCCTCAAGAGGTGGAGCAGGAGGATGCGCAGCATGGACCATGGAGCAGTAGAGAAGGAGCTTCAGAATAGAATGTGCATGGATACTTTCGCGGTTCAGGCGTACCCAGTGAACGCGTATTTGTTGTACTACAACCGGAGCGACCATCTACCAGAGGTCCTCGGCAGGGGGGGCAGGGAAGTGTGGGCAGGAGAGGGACTGAGGAATGGCGAGGGAGAGAGCAGGAGAGGAGAAGGAGGATAATGAATTGGAGGAGGAGAAGGAGGAAGAGGAGGGGGAGCAGCAGGAGGAGGAATTGGAGGATGAGGAGGAGGAGGATGAGGAGGAGGAGGGGGAGGATCAGGATACGGAAAAGGTTCAGCGGAGAAGGAGGAAGAGGATGGAGGAAGAGGGACAGGTCAGTCTAGGATAGTCCAGCCCAGTCCTGCTCGTCTAATTGGATCCCAGATCAAGCCAGTCCAGCGCATGAGCCAGTCTATATGGCTAATTTCAGATTATTCCAGCTCAGTCGAGTTCAGTCTGTATCTTCCCGGCTCATCTAGCCCTGTCAAGACCAGCCCAGCCAAGCTCAGCGCGGCCAGGTGTAGCCCAAATTGAACCAACCCACATCAGCCCAGCCAAGGTCAATTTTGGTCGGTCAAGCCTTGCTCAGGTCAGTCCAGCTCCGTCCACCTCAGCTCAACTCATTCGAGCTCCGTCGAGCTCTTTGCAGCTACGTCCAGCAAGGCCCGCCACGTCCTGCTCGGCCAAGCTTGGTCCAGCTCGGCCGAGGTCAGTCTAGCGGAGTCCGGGCCAGCCCATTCCAGTCCAGGTCAGCCCAGCCGAGTCGGGATCAGTCCCAGTCAGCCCTGCTCAGTTCATCCCAGCGTCACCTGGCGGTCCAAGGACTGCGGTGTCGAGACGACAGAGCGCGTACGTACGGGGCTCCTTGCGACCAGTGAGTTTGCTGGGGAGGCCTCTTGAGGGCCCTCTCGGACCCAAAAGGACTGGCAGCAGAGACGGCCCGGCGCGGAGAGTCCGCACGAGTGATCTGGGGCAGGAGTTCCTGAGGGCCGCGCAGGTGAGAAGCGTGGATGCGGGAGGTCTGGGAAGAGGGGGGAGACGAGTTGAGTACACCCTAGGCGATGCTTAAGAAAACTTACGTTGACGGCCAGAGTCTCGATTGTTCTTAATGCTTCAATGTAAATCCTAAGATTTCAATAGAATGTATGGGTTTTTATTCCAATTCTGAGACTATGAATTTACTTAACCCATGATTTCTTAAGCATTTCGCAGGGTGTAGGGCCGAGGGTCAGAGAGCCTCTTCCTCTGCAGGACCACCGAGGGAAGGGACGTCGAGGTGGTCAAGTGGTCAAGCCGACGAGGAGGTTCAAAGTCCAACCACTCGTGCATGTCCCAGGTTCTGGCTTGACGCAGGGTGAGGTGCATCAATCTCAGCTTGGCCGAACAGGCTGGATGGGCCTCTTGGCGTCCGTTTGGGGTGTTCTGCAGACCTGACCCCCCAGCCTTACTCAAGGGATGATAAGGGATCGGCTACACGCAAGAGCAACCTCCGGCCAGAGTGACCCTCAGGTGCGGGCCAACACGGGCCCCCCAAGCACTGACTTTTGCACTTGGGTTCGACACTCACGCGGCCCTCGAAAGCCGCGCACCAAAGGCCACTCTTGCCGAAGGTCACTCTTGCGTGCAGCCGATGGGAGAGGTAAGATACGCAAAAGGGTTTGGGAGAACCACTGGTCGGTCCGTTCGGCTGTGTCGCAGTCGACTGTATTCGATCGGCTCGGTTCGGTCGGCTGTTACGTCGTTGCTGCGTCGCCGCGTCTCCTTCGGCCACCTTCGGCAGATTCGATCTCTGTCGGTCTCGGTTTCGCTATCGGTTCGGTCGGTTTTCTCAGGCACCTCGATCGGTGCCGCTTGTCTTTTCAAGATTGCCGAGGCCAGATGTCAGCCCGCGTCAACGCAACACAGTTCACCCTTCCTTCTCTTTCCCTGCCGACCCCCTTCCCACACACTCTCCCTCCCCTCCCATTCCCCCTCAGAGGAAGAGGAACATCCGTGGATCAGAAGGAGGAGGGAGAGGATGGAGAGGACTTCAGTCGAGAACCGTCGAGTCGAGCAGTCGGATGGTGATGATGATGATGGGGAGGAGGATGAGGATGAGGATGAGGATGATGAGGATGATGAGGATGATCATGATCATGATTTTGATGCTGATGGTGATGGTGCTTGTGATGCTGATGCTGATGACGATGGTGACGATGACGGCGACGATGGTGATGCTGAGGATGATGGTGCTTATGATGATGATATCGACGTTGACCACGCTGGCTACGTGCATGGTGGTGGTTATGATTATGATGACGATGAGGATCACGACGGAGACGGTATTGATGATGCTGTTGAGGTTGATTCTGGTGTTGACGATGATGATGACGATGGTGATTATGCTGATGATGATGCTGGTAATGCTGATGACGATGAGAATGATGATGCTTATGCTGATACTGATGATGCTGATGATGATGATGCTGTTGATGTTGATGATTATGATGCTGCTGATGATGATGCTAATGACGATGCTGATGATTATGATGGTGATGCTGATGATGATGGTTGTGGTGGTCAGGATGGAGTTGATTGTGCCGGTGATGACGATGATGGTGATGGCGATGCTGATCATGGTGGTGGTGGTGATGATGTTGATGCCGTTGCTGATGCGACGGGGATTCTTATGAGGAGGTTGATGGTGATGAATATTGTAATGGCTATGCTGATAACCATGATGAGTCTGCTGATGGTAATGATGATGGTGATGCTACTGCTGGGGATCATGGCTGTCCCGAGTAAGATGGGAATGCGAATGATGCATCTGATGGGGACAATGACTATGCTCATGTTGCCGATGATAACGCCGCCGACGACGATGACGATGACGATGACGATGATGACGATGATGATGATTATGATGATGATGCTGATTATGATGCTGATGATGATGATGATGCTGATGGTAATGATGATGACGATGCTGCTGCTGCTGATGATGGTAACGACGATTGTGATGATGATGCTGATGAATATGATGATGATGAGGAGGAGGAGGATGATGACGAGGATGATGATGATGACGCTGACGATGATGGTGATGGCGATGAGGATGGTGGTGATGATGCTGATGATGCTGCTGCTGATGATGATGCTGATACTGATGGTGAGGATGGTCATCATTCTGATTCTGACGACTATGCGTGTGCGGATCGAATGCTGCCGATGATGACAACGATGTTGTTGCTACATATTCTGGTGATTGAGAGGGCGATG